ATGCTCTTTATGATGATGCTTACATCGCCCAATCTGCTACGTACGCTGTAATGGGTTCATAGCTAACTCGCTGCTAGCTAACGGCACGCTCGGCTCCAAACTCCTCGGCATCGTCACCAACCGCGACCTTCAGTTTGAAGAAGACAGCAGCAAGACAGTCGATAAGGTCATGGTCACTGATCTCATCACTGCCCAGTCCGGTGTTACTCTCCTAGAGGCGAACAAAATCCTGGCCCAGTCGAAGAAGGGCAAGCTACCTATCGTCGACAAGGACTTCAACCTCGTTTCGATGATCTCTCGCTCTGATTTGACTAAGAACCTCTACTTTCCGCTAGCCTCAAAGCTTCCTGATTCTAAGCAACTCATCTGCGCTGCGTCTGTCGGCACTCGACCGGAGGACAAGATTCGTCTCCAGAAGCTCATAGATGCTGGCTTGGACATTGTCATCCTTGACAGCAGTCAGGGAAACAGCATGTATCAGGTGGAGATGCTTAAGTGGATTAAGCAAGAATACCCTAAGCTTGATGTTATTGGTGGAAACGTTGTTACCCGCGAACAAGCTGCTACTTTGATTGCCGCGGGCGTCGACGGCCTGCGCATTGGAATGGGTAGCGGAAGCGCCTGTATCACCCAAGAAGTCATGGCCATCGGTCGACCACAAGCTGCTGCGGTATACTCTGTCTCGAGCTTTGCTGCGCGCTTCGGTGTTCCGTGCATTGCCGACGGTGGTGTACAAAACGTGGGCCATATCGTGAAAGGTCTGGCTCTCGGTGCCTCTACCGTCATGATGGGTGGCCTGCTTGCTGGCACGACCGAGTCACCTGGCACATCTTTTGTCTCGCGAGAAGGCAGGCTTGTGAAAGCCTACCGTGGCATGGGCAGTATTGATGCCATGCAAGACAAGAAGGCCGGCGCCGGCAGCAAGAACAGCCAAGCTAGTAATGCTGGTACTGCTCGGTACTTTAGCGAAGGGGATAGTGTTCTTGTTGCCCAGGGTGTATCTGGAGCTGTCGCCCACCGCGGATCTGTGAACACATTCGTTCCTTATCTAGCCGCTGGTGTTAAGCACTCGATGCAAGACTGTGGCCAGAAGAGCTTGACGGAGTTGCATGAGAATGCTGCCAACGGCTCCCTTCGATTTGAAATCCGAACTGCCAGCGCTCAGCTTGAGGGAAATGTCAACATGGAGAGCTACGAGAAGAAACTCTATGCTTGAAATGTCATCCGTATATCAGAAATGCTTATACGTAGGTGAGCAAACCTCGAGAGGCTATAGTATCAGTCACTGGTCGAGAACTCTATGAAGTGTGATATCTTTACATAAATGAATTTGATGGCTCATGATGAGGGGATGCGTGTACTCCAAGGCGTTTAGGGTGGGTTGCTGGGATTCAAGCGGGGTGGGGGCGGGAAAAGTCACTTGAATTGGATAGTATAAGTATGTATGTTGGCACGTACATCTACATAAGCCGGAATGAGAAAAATAATCATGAATTGGCAGAACAAAAACTGCATTGCACGGTTGCTGTTGTCCACTTTACAATAGTTCTTTTTTACATACGTGCAAATCGACACCAACAAGCAAGCTACTTAATGTAGGTCTCTAATAAGCAATGGTATTAGCTATAAACGCAGGTATCTAACATTGCGTAACCAAATCCAGCATGATATCCAAAGTATGAAAAAAAAGCGCATCTAAATGAAACCCTGTTTTCTAGTCCGTAACGCCGTGCCATGGAAGTCTGTTCTGATGCTTATGCGTGAATGCAGGCCCCTCAAGACTCTAACAAACAGCCTCTTTATACGTCAATAATCCATACGCACATTACTTCGTTTAGATTGTGTCCCTTCAATCATCGTATCGTTCCGTAACCAGTACTGTGCGTGTTCTTGGCTCCATTCTGAACCAAACCCTGCTGCTCGCGGCCATCATCTTCATCGTCATCGAAGACGACAGCATCCTCCTCGACTTGCGTATCATCAGTATCCTCGGCGTCACTCGAGTCCTCACTATCAGCACTCGGGCCGTCCCCCTCGACAATCATCCACACGGGAAAAGCTCCAACGGCGGCAATCCCGCAGAGAATCCACCATGGGACACCAATCATATTGTTCTTCACGCCCCAAGAGAAAGCGACTCCAGCGAGGGCGGGGCCGCTCGCGCGTCCCAGGGCGCTGAAGGTAGTCGCGAAGCCGTTGAGGGTTCCCAGGATGCTGAGGGAGGCGGCGCTGTTGGTCAGCAGGATGGTGGAGCAGGGGAAGCCGACGATGACGGCAAAAGCCTTGGTGACCATGGCGGCGAGCAGGGCGGCGTACCGCAGCCTCACGTCCTCGATGAGCACCGTGAAGGGCAGCACGAGGTAGACGAGGGGAAACAGCAGCACGCACACGCGGAAGCACCCGAGGACGCCGAACCGCGCGCACAGGGCCGGGAAGAGCACGAACTGGATCGCGCCGCTCATGATCCCGTACAGCGTGAAGATGGTCCCGATGCGGCCCGAGTTCAGCCCGAAGCCGCCGGAGAAGAAGAGGGGCGGGAAGGTGTTCTCTCGCGTGTGCTCTTGCACCGGGTAGTTCAGGAATACGGGGAGGACCTGGTCGAAGGCCACCGAGTGTAGGGCTAGGAAGGTGTACGCGACGAGGTTGATCACTGTCTGACGGGTGAACACGGCGGACATGCTGGGCGCCACGGGCTTCTCGAATCGGGTGGACGAAGACCTCCTGTCAGCCTGGAGCAGCGGTGCCGAGGCCTCGGCGTCCTGGAGAGAGTACCGGCGCAGCTTCTGCTGGCCTCGGAAAGGGTTCTCCTTGAATGCCTCCTTGATGCGCTCGCCTAGTATGAGGCCCCAGTCTCGGGAGTGTCGTTTGCTCTGCAACGTCTCCTTGAGGAACAGCGCTGCCGTCGATAAGGAGACAAGGAAGACGACGCCGGCCAGGATGTTGGGCAGGGCGAAGGGGAACTGCTTCAGGAAGTGGCTGTTGCCGAATAGCCCTGGGAATTGCTCCGCGGGCTTCGCGAAGAGTCCGCCGAACGCGGGACCGAATACCGAGCCGATGCTCCAGACCAGAGGCATGATGGAGAAGGCCTTGGGCTGGAGTTGTCTGTCCTGGACCATTTCCGCTACCATTGTTCTTATGATGCCGACTGAATCTGCTATTAGAGAGGAGTTGATCATAATGTGTTTTTAGCGAGTTACGCACCGTTTCCATTACATGCGCCCTGGAGACCACGGACAATGATGGCCATGGTAAGACTCTTGGACACACCCCATACTATGAATAATATCATCGTGCAGAATAGCCCCGTCATGATAGCCGGTTTTCTGCCTGGAAAAAAACCATCAGTCCCACTACCCATCCTAAATCCAATATCACGGAGGTCTTGCTTACCGAACTTGTCGGACGCCCGTCCCCACGCCACCGCCGTCAAGCTCTGCGCGAGCGAGAAGACGGCACTGGTGGCGCCGGCCCATTTTGCGACGTCCTTCCTCTCGACGCCGAAGCTCGCTATCATTTCTGGCAGGTAGGGATACACCGAGGTCATGGCCAGCGGCTCGGCGAACCGTGCAACGGCTGGAGAGAGAAGTCAGCCACCAATATTCGGAGGTAAGGAGGGGGGTAACCTGAGTTCGTGCCACCAGTCGTGGTCGGTTAAGGGTCATAGTTAACCGCCATTGTGTTGTCCTGTTTCTGTCTACCGATTGCTTCTTTACTGTCTGTGCATGTATGAGGGAGAGCGCGCCTGCTTGGAGTTTGGTAAGACGACTTCGACACACCAAGATCAACAAACAAGTCACGGAACACAAGCAGCCAATGTTGTGGGACGTCTTATTTTCTTTCTTTGGATTTGTACTCTCACGACAATTTAAGCTCTTTGCCAAGCATCCCTCCACAACAACAAGATGGGTGACACTAGTCGGCTTGGATTCCACCATTTCCTTCGTGACGCCCGCCATGTGGTAGATTCGTGAGATGTGAAGCTATATAGACTAGAGAACAAGAAAAATACGGCTATGCTTACCCAGGATGGCCAGCTGCTGAGCCGGCAGCTTTGGACGTTGAGACTTCGCTGCCATGATGACGAACAGTTAAATTAATTTGGCAACGGGAAAGACGGCAGGAAGCCGGAGAAGGAGGACGGCAGCCAAGGTATATAAACAAAGAGAACTAGAACTTCTTCCCTTACAGTATTAAAAAACATTGTCTTTTCCCGCCCCTCCAGATCCCCACCCACATACCGTAACACACATCTAGTTACCGCGCCCATCTCTGGTGGAGACGGGAATGCAAGACTTTCCCTTCTGTCTGTCATACGGGGGGGGACTTATACCAAATATTGTCGTCGACGGGTCCCGCCTAGGCCGAGCATAGCCTAGGTCAGGCGCATGGCTGCACAGATGAGGCTGCCTGTTTCGGCCATGCGAGGGTTTTCATTCGTCGCTTCTAACATCCACCGGCCATGGCGACTCAGGTGGTGGCAAATTTTTTACATACTTTCTTGCATCTTTAAGGGTAAGTTGTTACCCTGCATTTACAATACGTAATTACTTATAACCGGATACTCGAAATAGTCTTGCTGTCACTGAGCTGAAGTCTAACTCTTCAAAGTACCTACCTACCTATGTATGAAGTAGGTGGTGCCCGTGTCCCATGTAGGCATCGGTGCCTCCAGCCAAACCCGTCACAGTTCTGGTTCTAGGTTAAGTTTTACCACATTCGAGGCGTGCGATAAATTGGGCTTAGCGTTTTTGCTGCTTTTGCTCAAGCTCGGCTGTATACCGTTTATGCAAAAATGAACGGTTCTCATGCCTTCACTTACCGACCGTATTATTAATTACGGAGCACCGATAGCACATGGCCCCAACCTTCAGCTTTGTTTCAATACCTATTTAGACTTTAACCTCGCAGATAACGATGCACCATGTTGCGCACAGAGGGTAAATTAAAGGAACCAAGAGGTCCAGAGGGTAATATAATTTGAAAGATGGCTTTGCATCGGTGGCACTTGGTGTACGGGTAACACGCCGCTGTCGGTAACACGTTGTGCGAAGTAGCGGAGAGCTCTGGTTCGAACCCAGAGAGTGCCCATCCTTTTTATTACATTTTATATTTTATACTTTATATATTATAGCGAATTCGAATTTTTGCTAGCCGCTTTCCCATGTTCATTCACTAATTAAACGCTTTAATCATCGCTTTATTCTTTTTCTCCTCTAGTCTTAGCACACCAACTGCTGCAACTCCTCTCGCTCATACAACTTATATCACATCATTGTCATGAGACCAATCCCCAATCCCCTTATAATGGCATTGAATTCGAGGTCCACCAGCCGTTTCGATAGCATCCTCAACACAACCATCTTTGATAAAAAATGGAAGCAGGAAGATGGCTTGGCCACCTGTGTCGAGATCCACCCAATGCCAGTCTGTCAGTGCACCACAACCTCTTTCCTCTCTTAGGAGTGTTTCTCCTTTGTCTTCAGCCCAGCCGTTTATGTCCGACACTTTGAAGGTCACTCCAATAAGGGTGTCCTTGAAGTCACAATTAACTGTAGAAGGTAGCGGCGGTTGAGGCGTCGTCGATAATATAGAAGACGTGGGTAATGAATTGGATGACACTACAGAGTTCGATATGCACGTGCAAGTTCCTTAGCCATGATCTCCAAGGCCATAGAGTTCGCGCCGGTTCGAGTAGCCCACTGCACAAGCCTCAGTGCACTAAGAATCTGTAGTGCAGTACATATAAGTTTGCGTTGCTGAAAAGTCCCGTAGAGCTGCCTGGAAAGGTTCGAGCTCAGATCAGAAGCGAAGCTTGACGTTGATTGAAATTACGGAATGGTAACGGAACTAGGAGGCGATGCTACAACCAACCAGGATCGTTTATTTCTGACACTGATCACATAACAAGACATTTACGTGGAAAGTCTCTTTGTACGGCTGGATTTGCCTACGTTTATCCTTGCTGTTATACCTAGTTCCGTCCTACGTTACGCTTGCATTCGACTTCACCTGCTTTGGACTTCCTGGGAAGTTGCTACAGTCGCACGATTTTGTAATGCAGACTGAAATCCGTTTTGTGATAAAACGGTTACTCCGTTTGCAAGCGGGTCTTGCTTAGGCTCAGGCTAAAAGCAGCGTTGGCTCAGGTGAGATTCCCATTTTGATTCAGCATAAGTAGTAAAACCTATCTCATGGGTAACTAGCAGAGACAACGGCGCCACCCGATTTGCAGGATCGCATTACAAAGTCCGTTGTCGGAGATTTTTGGCTGGGGGCAAGACAATGGCACCGCATTACAAAGTCTGGTCACAAGGCCGGCAATGGTGCGGATAGAGACAGATCCATGCAGATGCAACTGCAAGGTAACGCTGCACCTGACCACAGGGCAGAATGCAGGGTTGCGGTTATGCGACCTTTTTGATGCAATTCTCTGATGACTCCTCCCCCTCCATCCGCTTCCCCCACCGGTGTGCCTAGCCTAGACTCTTGGTGGGTAGCGCCGGGCGTTGCTTATTGTTCGTTCAAGTCACTAACTAATCCCCACCAAAGCCGGCCCCACTAAGTCTCGCAAACGAAGTACAGGCGGGTTGGGTTATCCGGCATCCTCATCCGAGGTTTTTGAGGTCCAACCCGGTTCTTGTCTCGGACGAGACCTACCTCAATACTACCTTAGCCAACCTCTTCATTATTCTGTTCATTATGGATTTGGTTGTGTTGGTGTCTAGTTGAGTTGCTCTGTCACCAACCGTATTGTCATTGTCCGCTTCTGTTCAAGACTTTTACTTATGGCATCGTTTTTGCGGCCCTCAAGTCGATTACGCCGCAAAGCCTAAGTATTGTCGACGAGCGCAACATGTGCGCAATGTCTTCAAAAGCCGATGAGGCATTCGATAGTATAGAAGGGGAGGTTCGGAACTACGGTAGAGGCGAGATGCGCCTCACTTCGCGCGTATTAAACTACTATCATGACATCACGAAGCACACTTCTTATCTATCAACATGATCTCACTGGCTACCAAACCCACAAGGCTTGCCGTTAGCCGCATGACGTAGACACCTCGGACTCGTCGGGACTTCAGATCAGTATTGACCATGTTTTATATATAAACTTCGTAGGGGACGATGGTATCGCATGGGGCGCGATCACTTAGCGCTTAAAAAGTTGGTTCCTTTGGACAATACGGGCGAGATGCAGTACACCAGCCACCCAGGCAAGCGCAGCACCCAAAACCCCGTAGATTATGAGTCTTCGGTGTACCAGAAGGGCCTCAGCTATCAACGGCCCCCCTTCACGTTCAAGCCGCTGGAATGGGAGAGCCTCGCGGCAGAGCGCATGTCGGCGGACAGCAAGGGCTACGTGATCGGGTCCGCGGGCACGGGAGAGACGGCGAACAAGAACCGCGCCGCATTCGCAAGGTGGTCGATTATCCCGAGACGTCTCGTGAAGACGGAGGGTCTCCCGCATCTCTCAGTCGATGTCCTCGGCCAGAAATTGCCGTGTCCAATCGCGTGTGCGCCTGTCGGCGTGCAGAGGATCTTCAACCCGGATGGGGAGGTGGCTGCTGCTGCGGCGGCCGCGAAGGAAAATGTCCCTTATATCATGAGCACGGCAAGTAGTACGAGCATCGAGGATGTGGCAAGGGCAAATGGGGATGGGGTGCGTTGGTTTCAGCTGTATTGGCCGCCGAATGGGAAGAGTGATATTACGATATCCATTCTTGAGCGCGCTCAGAAGGCCGGGTTCTCGGCGTTGTTCGTCACTCTTGATACGTACATACTGGGCTGGCGACCAAGTGACATGGACAATGGGTAAGACGATCTCTTGCTTTATAGTTCCATGGCGTTTCCCTCGAATTAACTCGGTTTTTAGCTATAATCCTTTTCTGCGATCCGATCAAATCGGCGTCGCTATAGGCCTAACTGATCCAGTCTTCCGTGACCACTTCAAGCGGAAGCATGGGAAATCGGTCGACGAGGATATGGGTGCAGCGGTGGCAGAATGGACACACACCGTCTTCCCTGGGCTCAGCCACTCCTTCGAGGATATCAAGTTCCTCCAGCAGCATTGGAAAGGACCTATCATCCTCAAGGGCATTCAGTCCGTAGAGGATGCCAAGAAATGCGTGGAAATAGGCGTGCAGGGGATTGTGGTGAGTAACCACGGCGGCAGACAGTCGGATGGCGGGGTGAGTTCTCTGGGCGTGCTGCCGCGCATTGTCGATGCTGTCGGGGACAAGATCGATGTCCTCTTTGACTCTGGCATCCGGTGTGGCGCTGATATCGCCAAGGCCCTTGCTCTGGGCGCGAAAATGTGCTTAATTGGAAGACCCTATATCTACGGTCTTGCGCTAGGTGGCGAAGAAGGAGTCTCGCATGTGCTGAAATCGCTCTTGGGAGATTTGGAGCTCACATTGCATCTGGCTGGGATACAATCTTCGTCACAAGAGCATCTTAATCGATCTGTACTTGTGAAGGAGGATGACTTGTTCTAATGTAGAAACTCGCCGCGACACTTAATAGTAATATGAACTGCACGCAACGTTGAGGCAGATAATGACCTCTCTTTATTATATACCCTTTCGAATCGGCTAAAGAACTATCTATCCTTCCGATTTTGGCGTTTATATCCTATTAGAGTCTTGTCATACACCCTTAAGCCAGCTCATCCAAGAATTAGCTTAAAAGTCTGGTTCATGATGTTGGCCTCGATCCAGCAAGGCGGAATATACCGCTCCACTTGTCGTATGAAGCTTGGTTTAAATACACCATGCCACGTAGCTTTGTACATACCACTCCCAATACGCAGGGTAGAAACCTGCGGTACACCAGTCTACGATAATCACTGTCAAGTCGTCGCGTATGATAATATTTCCGGCATTTAGGTCGCCATTCTGTCCGCGAAGAGAGAGCCGCACCAGTTGTCCAGTGGCATACATGTGGTTATATCCTCTAGACTCGGGGTCCGTACTCATAGGCCCCGGGCCAGCTCGGGAGATGGCATCCATGATCCCCTCGTTAAATCCGCTTTCGTCGGGATAAGGTCCATACTCGTAGCCGCTCTTCCAATCGTAGTCCCACTGAAACTCGCCCGCCACGCAAGGGTTGCGGTTGAATCCACCGACGTAGTCGCCTTTGATGTCGCGCATTTCCTTTAGGTAGCGCTACAATTGCTCAATCACTTTTTCTTTGTCCTCATCCGATGCATCTTCCCAGAACTCCGGCAGCAACTTTCCCGGCTCGTAGGACATTATGATGTAAGCCGTGCCATCGAGGACATAGGCACCGATGACTTTGGGGCATTTGACACTGGTGTGACTGGAAATAAAATCCATGGCCTCGGCCTCAACTAGGGAAACACTCGGGCCATACTTGACTACTGTTTCCTCATCGATTTGCCGAATCGAGCTTCCAAGCTGACCAGGGCATAGATCGAGTCCTTGTATTTTAAGATCCTGAGGATCGAGTACATAGGGTGGAAAGCCGAGCAGTTCTGAAGTTATTAAGAGGCGTTTCTCCTCTTGCTTAGAACTTGATTCCGTTGATTCTTGGGGATCCATATCTATGGGAGACGAAAATGGGGAGAATGAAAATCAATTACAGAGAATAGATTCAACATTCGAACGAAGTACTTGGATTACCACACATAACATATCCGCGTGACGTTGATTTCAAGAACTGCTGCCTAATTGTGTTGAGGGTAGTTCGTGCACATATTATCTACAATTATTTGTTGGTTAGATTGCATGTGGGAATGGCCTCTGTTATCCTATCAACGGGCAGAATAACCTAGCGTCTTTTATGTCTCTAGGCAAACCCAATAATTCTTAACTAGGCTAATACAGCTGACTAAGTAATGGAATCCTTCCTAAGGTTCTAGCCCTCACGTCGATTTAGTTGCTTATTATCGTTCATTATTATGATTGAGCAAACATGATAACAAACGAGGGATACAGGTAAATATGCGGACTGCTGCCTCGCAGACTCTTTGCATAATATCGGCCGTAAGCCCCCCTAGTATGCGGATAGATGCATTCACGCATATATGCCGGCTGGTTTGTGCGACAACTTACAGCGTAGATTAAAACAA